GCTGTTAAATTTTTATTTCTCATATATAAAGAAATTAATAAATTTTCGACCACTAGTGAGAAAGGAATATTTAATCTAGCCATCTAGTGGCGTATTAATGTAATATAATTTGAAGCTATTGTAAAAAAAATAATGGTATTTATCATTAAATTTCTTTTGAAAAAATTTTGAATTAAATATTTTAATTTTGCCATTTATGTTAGAAAATAACATTATTTAGAAAACATTTATTTAGAAAATAACATTATAAAAAATAAGATATAATTTGTTTAAATTGAATATAATCTAATAACATCTTGGTTATTTTTACAATATAAAAATAATAAACATGAATAATATTTTATTCTTATTGTAAATAAAATGCAAATTATTCTTAATGCAAATTGCGATTCGTAAGTATGAAATGAAAGATAAATTTTAATCAATTTATTTTTTAGCGATTAACAGGATGGAGATATGCAGCATTTATAGGTACATTTGTAGGAACTATAGGAATATTTTGTTATTTTACAATGATAAGTCCTATGATTAATCCAGAGCCATATAGTATGTATAAAATTTTGTTTATTAATTATAAAAATATATTTTTATTTTTTATATATAAAATAAAAATTCCAGAAAGAATTCGAGAACAAGTGGCACAATCCCATAGTAAAACTTACAAAAATAGCAAAGAAATATAAATAAGAATATGTATATTTGCAGAGCTACAATTTTTACTAAGAAAAAACAAGTTAAAGATATAAAATTAATTTTTATTATGTCTTAAACATATGTTACTAAAATGTTAATGTATATAAAATAGACTGAAGAACATTCAATATGTTATTGAGAAATCAATAAATGTAGTGACTTGTACTCTTCTTATAATTATTTTCCTAATTATTTACAATACAGATATTGCAGCAAGAAGTTTCTTATTTAAAATGACTGGAAACTTTCCTACAGATATTCTAAAACATGTTCTAAATGTAATATACAGTTCATGTTAAAAGTCATCATGATCACAAACATCTAGGAAGACATCAAATGCTTCACGGTTACAATTTCCATCGGCAGTAAAAACATATTTATGAAATGTTCCATCCATACAAATTGCTAAAAATAAATAAAATAAAAAATTAGAATCAAATACATTATTATAAATAATTTTAATATAATAATAGATATATTTTTTTATACCTATGACAGAACTTCTTGTACCAAATGCACATACGCAAGCACATTCTGGTGGTACTGTGAATGTAGCCAATGCCCATTGACTTTCAACGTAATTTCCCAAAAATCCCATTTTTGAAAAACTATGAATAAATCAATCATTAATCATTAGAATTTATAAAAATTTATACTATATTTACATACGTGGATCTGCGATTTAATTGTGTGTCTTTTAATGCAAATATGTGTACTGTTCCTTTATCACTAGAAGCACATAAGAATTCCGAATCTCTACTAAATGTAATGCTGAAATATGATAATTTAAAATTATAATTCAAGATTGTAATATAAAAATAAAATATTTTTATATAAAATTCATTTGTTTATAATTTATTTATAATATTTATTTATTTATATATATTTATTAAATATTATTATTTAAGTATTAAAATTTTATTTAAATTATTTATATTATATTTTTTTTATTACATATAT